TCTGGGAATCTTTTTTGGCTAAGAACCCAACAAATTAAAACCAGGAACAACACCCCGCTCCAACCGCCGCACTCCCTTCTGCCTTATCCTAGCCTAGGCAAACGTGATGACCTACATAGTACATGCAACTTGCCCGCCCAATACTTCCTACTTCCATCTCACATTAATTCTATGATGGAATTATTGGTTATTGCTGTCATAATTTCAATGCATTTGGTTTCATTTTTCACAATTTCCAATCTATTCTTATTCATGAAATTATGATTTGTAGAGACTTAATTAAATGTAATAAATCAAGCTAAAAATGAATGCAATGCAAGAATTTCAAGCAAACGGAGTACGCTTCTCCCTTCAAGTCAATAGATATATTGGAATAAGATACAAATTATGGATACAAGACTCCTATTTATAGGTTAGTTCAATTATAACAAAATTTATAAAGGAAAATAATTTATACCCATACAATTACTATTCCTAATTAGCTACTTCAATTTTTTTTTTAATTTATTTTCATGAATTATTGGAGAATTGGCTTATTTTATCCAGAGTTAATAAAGAATCTAAGTTTTTCACCCAGGGCGCCGGATCCCGTGGCTGCTGCGGCGAGTGGCAGGGGCACACCGAGGTGCTACATTGATGCCGACTACAGACCAGACACCGGAGAAGCTACGTATGGGGTGGTGCTCCTCTCCCATCACGGCACCTTCGTGGCTGCGACAAGTGTAAAATTATCGGGTGCTTTCTCGGTCGTTATGGCGGAGGCGCTTGCTTGCAAAGAGGCGTTGTCCTGGCTTAAGGATCGGGATATCATGGAGGTGGATATTCTAACAGATTGCTTGGAGTTACAGAATGCTTTACATTCAAGCCCAACAGCTAACTTCTCCTATATTGGGATCATTGTGGACCAATGTAGGACAACCATATCGTTATTTACACATTGTTTTTAAGTTATATTTCTAGAACTCTTAATTTTCATGCTCATACTTTAGCTTCGTTAGCTTTCGATCAGGAACAACCTATGTACTAGGACTCTGTCTCTCTTGACTCTATTGTTCAGTTTATCCATTAATATATCACTATTATACCTTTCAAAAAAAAAGTATTTAATAAAAATATGACACGTTCAGAAGTAGCTAATAGGAAGTGGCAATTGTAATGGTTTATAGCATGATTCTTTTTAAAAAAAAAATGTAAGTAGTTGGCTTAGATTCTAACTAAAGTTTGAAGGTTTCTCATTTTATCTCTTTCCTTATTTCCTATTTGGATAATACATTTTCTCGATCGGCTAGACAACTCCTTTTTCATGGACCTCTTCCATCCTAAGCTAAGCCCAGTGGCAGAGCTATGTATATATGAATGGTGTCAATTGACACCACTCAAATTTTTTTACTTGTCAAGTATGATTAGGTGTACATATACATATATATATATATATATATATATATATATATATATATTAAAAAGAATTTAAATTGACACCACTAAAATTAACATACTAAAAATTTATAATTTCTAAATATAATTATTAAAAAATCAATATCCAAAATAAAAAGCTTCTAATTTTTACATAATTTTTTCTCCCTCTTGCGTGATTGCAATGAAAATAAATCACCAATTAAACATTTTCCCTCCAAGTAATCCTATTTTGTTGATAATCTCCACAACTTTATAGATGCCTAATTGCCTAAAATTACTTATTCTTAATGAATTGCAAGTTTTAAATATTTTATAGTTTTTTTTTTTTTTTCTGATTTTCATTTTCAAGTTGAATTTGTATTAAGTGAAGAAAAAAACGTATTTTTTGAATTATAATAGGATTACAAGCCACAAAGCTATGTACGAATCAACATTTGGAATTGAAAATTTTAAAATCTTGAATCTATTTTTTGAAAAGGCATGAATATACGTATATCTTATTTGTAAATTCTTATGAGTTGTATAATTAGTTGATATGCATCACTTTTTATTTTAAAGATACACTATTTTTACAAAGCATTATTTAATTTTATCAAATCTTGGATTGCATATATAAGAAAATTAAGAGTAAAAGAAAATATTACATTAATATAATATTGACACCATTGAATTTAGCAGATGGCTCCGCTGTTACCTATTAACTTATTATTGTTCGTAAAATTTTCATATTTTGTTATCATCCTACCTACAGTTTGAATCTGAGACTTATATTCTAACACTTATAATTATTATAAATGAAATATATCTGAGGACAAATGGTCCAACAATTGTTATTTAATCACTATTTTAGATACGATGATCAAAATATAAACAGCACAAGTTTTTGAAATTGTACCGCTAAGTGTAGTAGGAAAATAGCGCATAAGAAAAATTAGGTAAATTTGAAAGAAGATTCGCAGTAGAAAGGGCGAAGAGAGAAGTCAAAACAAAATCTAGAGGGGAGAAAAGTAAGAGATTTTCCTTCAAAACCAAATGAAAAAAGGTGGAAAAGGTCTAAGGTCAAGGTCGTGTGGTCTACGTTTATGATCTTTCTTAGAGTTTGCAATCGTTGATTTAAGGATGCTTAATCTGGGCAGCAAAGGTGGTTGTGTAATTGAAGGAGGGGTGGGGGGAGAATCTTTGGTGGGGCCAGAGGGTTTATGTTTTTCTTTGGTGAAATCTTTTGGTGTGAGACATCTTTTGTATGAATGGGTCAACAACTTTGTCCTCTGCCTCCCTCTCTTTAATTTGCTGTCATATTAATACAAGTTGGAAGTCGAACGCAAATGTGAAAATGAAGCTTAGTATTCAGTATTCACCACCCAATCTTAATTATGTTCATATGGACTTATTACAAGATTATGGTTCTAGAAACACCAAATCCTCCCTCACTACTTCATTTCTTTTGTTTAAGTCAAAGATTTTTTGTTGTATGATGTGTACGGGACAAGTATTATACTCTTTACATATAAACTCTTTGTATTATATAACGGTGCTAAGTTCATGATTGGAAATTATGAAATTTTCGACCATCTGAAAATGATTTTAAATCAAGTCAAAAGTAAAAAGTGGCCGGAAATAGCAACAAAGTTTTTTTCGGATATCAAAAGTGGTCGGAACAAGGCTTTCAACTTGATTTAAGATCAATTTCAGGTGATCAGAAATTTCATAATTTCCAGTAGTGATTACACGTCGATGATTGGATAGATAAATTGATTTATGTAAGTTTATTATTTACTTCTTATTTTATGTATTTACAATATAAGATGATTGAAATATATGTTCTATCTCAACTAAAGAGTTTATAATATGTATGGAATGAAATAATTAATTGATGGTTTAATTAGTGATGTAATGATATGCGTAAAATGAAATAAACAATTAGTGATTTAATTAGTGGAAAGTCTGAAATGAAAAAATCAATTAGGGTGCTAATTAGAGAAAAATTGATTACAGGAGGAAATTATGTATATTATAATAAATTATTACTTGGTCTAGTTAGTATATACTCCGTATAAATTTAGTAGCTTAATAATTATTATAAGTGTTAATAATTTAGTATAAATAGCTTTCAAAAAAAGTATATAAGTATTGCCAATTAGGCAAAAGTATTATTCTTGTTTATGTTCATTATTTGTTATCCTTATTTTTCTTGGAGCTCTCACATGCTTGAAGTGTGAAATTAGGACTTTGTCGTGACTTGAAAGGTTTCATATCCATTGTGGTCGTATCTAGGGTCATAACAATGTATCCAATCAAAACATCTATAGATGTACTTTTAAAACTTTAAAAGAATCTATAAAATTTTGTTGGTAATCTTGGTATTCGATATCATGAACATTTATAAACTTTATCAAATTATGATCTATGTAATTTTTCTTTTTCTCTAATATAAATACGTACTAAAATCCAATCTCCAACCTTAAACTTATAAACTTTCTCTATAGATTTTTTCTCCTAGTTTGAACTAGACAAACTGATATGAAATATACCCACGGTGTATAATTGTATATACATGCTCGGTATGTACTAACTGGGGCGCAAGGAACGATTCATAGCCTGGTCTGACCCCAATATGTGATCCATACCGATCTGAGTCGGAAGCAATATGTCTTTTAGCTCGGTCCCGACCTCGAAGCTCATATTATGAACTAAACGACCCGTCAATCATCATCTTAACTTAAAAGGCAAAATCGCTAACTAAAGTCTATATATTACATATTCAATGGGTCACAGCTATTTTGGTGAATATGTTACTTTAAAAAAAATGTTTACATAGATATCACATGTATTATTATTTTTTTTTTTTTGAAATTACCCCGCGATTAGACGATTGTGCTTATTTTCAATCTTGGGCAACTATGGTTGTCAACAAAGCCAATGAAAACAACCATGAATATCACTTTAAAACAAGATTTGAAATTGGTTGCCTTCATCCAATATTGAAAATAGTCGCCACAAGTTGAGAGTCTAGTCAATTGCTATTTGTAAAAAAAGGATGTGCACATAAAACTTCACGTGGCAACTCATTATAAATGTGTACTATTTTTTAAAAGTTGATTAAAGAGTTAGATGAAAAATACTTAAATTAGAGACTTAATTATATTATTATTGGGTAGACTTAGATAAGTTATTTTCTAAATTTTATTTAAATAAAAAAAAATAGTAGAGAAATGAAGGAGAAGGTAAGATGGGATGGGATGGGATGCATCATGCATGAGGGATGGGATGCATCATGCATGAGGGATGGGGGCATGACTCATAAGAAGCAAATCTTAAAAGGAATCAAGAGAAATTGCACCTGCTCAAGATATGGAAGTGCACATGATTTCACACCAGGTAAAAAGGCACCTCTGCTGACATCACCTGTATCTCTTGGAGGATTTTGGTAGGCCCCACTTGTACCCCCACCCCCACCCCCAACCCCCAACCCCCATCACCCCCTTTTGTTTTCAATCCCCAAAAACTTTCCTTTTCATATATATAAAGAAAAAAAAAAAAGAAAATTTCCCCTGTTAAAATAAATGCTCTAACATATATAATAAGCCTACACTCCAAAGAATCATTTTTCAATAGAGAAAAAACAATGCTTGTAAGCACTCCCATGTTCTTTCTGGATATGCAATCTTTTTAATTAGTGAAATATATATGGTGTGGTTGGCTTTTGCCATTGCTTGCCTTGTGGAGTAATTCAGAATCCAGATTGGAAAATTCTGGGAGATCTTTGGTTGAGATCTGGTCAGACCTTGCCCTTTCTGTGTTTGTGGATTTTATTTTGGTGGGTCTTCTTAGTTCTTTCCATACAAACTTCCTTCATATACACAACCCCACAAAGGAGCCACCTTTTTCTCCCCATATTCTCTGTGTTGTGTTCTTCTTTCAAGATTGAGGAATTGGAGCAATGGGCATGGCAGCTGCAGAGTCACAGTTTCATGTTCTGGCTGTTGATGATAGCATCATAGATAGGAAGCTCATAGAGAGGCTCTTCAAAACCTCCTCTTGTCAAGGTAGGTGCTTTCTTGGTTAAATTAACACATTACACTTTGATTTTGATTAGATCAAGGATGTTTTTTTTTTTTTTTTTGTTTGATACTGATTTCAGAGATTTCTTTGTAATTTTGCAGTTACTACAGTGGATTCTGGTAGCAAGGCTTTAGAATTTCTGGGTTTACATGAACATGATGAGAACAACACAAACCATCCATCTGTTCTATCCAACCATCCCCAGGTAATTTTACATATCCCTTTGATTTTCTGGGATTTTCTGGGGTTTTCCCCCCTTTAATTGATTGTTCTCTGGATTTTCTGAAATGGGTTTGTTTGTTATTTTTGTGGGATTTGGCAGGAAGTAGAAGTGAACCTTGTAATTACAGACTACTGCATGCCTGGGATGACAGGCTATGATCTACTCAAGAAAATTAAGGTATGTGTATTCCTTTTGTCTTGTTCCTCTTCTTCCCAATATTTCCTTTTTCTTACTTTCCTGCCAGCTCTGCATCACTTCCCTCTCCAGGAAATATTAATTACTCCATGACAAAAACTTCCCAACCAAACTAAAGTTACCCACATGAGAGTCAGTCCTTTCATTGGCATTCAATTTTGAGATCAATTAGAATCTGTACCCAAAATCTTGCCCACCTGTCTTCCACAAATTACATGTTGTACTTACTTGGCTAGTTGGCTTGTTGTCTTTATTTATTAGGAGCCCTTTCTTTAGTAAGCTTCCCTAAATTTTAGACATTGCAGCCTAGATTTTTACCCAGAAATAGTTTTGGTGTTAATTAATTCATATATATACTTTGTTGTCCTCTGACAGGAATCTTCATATCTGAGAAACATACCTGTAGTCATTATGTCATCTGAGAATGTTCCTTCAAGAATCAGTAGGTAAGATTGTTGTAAGAACAATGAACAATTTCTGGGCATATGTGAACCCTCCTTTTCTTGAACAATTTTTGGCAGGATATATAGGATTAATGGGCTTAAAAATTTGCAGATGTTTAGAAGAAGGAGCTGAGGAATTCTTCCTCAAGCCTGTGAGGTTATCAGATGTAAATAAGCTTAGACCTCATATGATGAAAACCAAATCTAAGAAGCCCGAAAACAATGCCCCGGACAGCCAAGAACCATCACCAGAACAAGAATGTGCTGTAGAAGATGTGAAATTGCAGCCACAAAACCCGAAACCACAGGCACAGACAGAAGAGCTACAACCAGTGATGAATAGCGATGAAGACACGAGGAAGGGCATGGAAGAAAGCCTTTCACCGGGAAGAACAAGAACGAGACAAGAACCGCAAGGGCGGGGAGAAGAGCAACAGCCAGTGGCGAATAGTAATGAAAACAAGAGGAAGGCCATGGAAGAAAGGGTTTCACCAGATAGAACAAGACCAAGATACAATGGTCTCACTCACTGCTGTCTCTAACCTATGATCATCTTCAATTCTCTGGGCACTTCACTTACAAGTTTTAATTACAACCCTTTTTTCCTTTTTCTCCCTTGTTTTAGTTAATAGATGGGAAAAAAAATACAAATGTAGAGAGGAATTCGTGATTATATGTTGAGAGTTCTGCAGGACATCTAATGTGGAAACTTTTATCCAATTTTGATTTGCTGATATAATAGGTAGAAAACTTGTTATTATGGATGCCAAATAGCCAATGATCAAATCTTACTTTTTCAAAGCTTTGGTAGATTATGTATGTCCAACTGTGAACTGCCCATACATGATACATACACCTAAAAACAGGAATTATTAGACATGGTGTCATAGTTTTAAAACATAATTATACATTTAAAATTATTTTTAAAAATAGAATTTGTAAGGGGAGGAAAATATTTTCCATCCATTGAAAATATGTTGGAAATATTTTCATCCAAAAAGTAGAGGAAAATGGTGTTTTATGTTACTTCGTATTTGGTTGGATGAAAAATATTTTTATTCAAGAATGAAGAAAACTTTTTCCTAGCTCATCCTAGGTATTTTGTTTTCCACTGAAAAAGTTTTCAATGGAAAACTAGTGATAGGGATATACCCACATGGAGGTAGCAATCCGACTGGTGCCGGTCGGTACACGAGTTGTGGATCTTTGGGACCCCGGGCCGATCGGTTGTGAACATGTGATAGAGTTATATGTTTATAATTTTCGATATTCTCAATTGTTGAACTCTGTATTCACAAATCACAGAACTATATATCATAATTTTGATAACTATACAGTTTAGAAATTATGATCTATAGTACAGATATTATGAATCTGCAATATAGAAATTATGAATCTACTGTATTTAAATTATGAATTTACGATATAGAAATTATGAATTTACGGTTTAAAAATTATGAATCTACAATTTAAAAACCCAACCAAACAATGGAATACATATTCATAGTAATTTCATTTCCACCAATCAAACAATTGAATCAATTTTTTTAGAATTTATTTTTCATGAAATTTTAATTCCATTTCCCTTCAAATAGTTTCCGGCGAATTTTACTCTTTTCCTAAATTTGAAAACAGAACCGATCCTGGGCTTTTGGGCCTATTCAAATTTGGTCGGGCTTTAGTCCATTTAAGAAAAAACAAGCATATTTCTTCTGGGTTTATATTGTCGCTAATTTGGACGTGCTGGCTTCTTACGCTGGACTTTATTAGAGTTCGGGTTATATTAAGGGGGTGTTTGGTTGGATGGAAAATATTTTTCATGGAAAATGTTTTTTTAAAAGTGAAGGAAAAAGATGTTTTATGTTGTTTGGTTGGATGGAAAATATTTTTCATTGGAAAAAGTTTTCTTTGAGAATGAGGAAAATAAATTCCTAGCTCTTGTTAGGTATTTTGTTTTCCATAGAAAACTAATATGCCAATTTTACTCTCATCATTCTTTATTAATTATTCTTATTATTATTATATTATTATTGTTGTGTAGGGATATATTTGTCATTATACACATTATTCCTTACCATTCCAAACTCAACCAAACAATGGAATTCATATTCCCAGTAATTTATTTTCCACCAACCAAACAATGGAATCTATTTTCTTGGAATTTATTTTCCATGAAATTTCAATTCCATTTCCCTTCAAATATTTTCCAGCGAACCAAACGAGCCCTTAATAGAAATCTTGATTATTAGTCATTGATACAGAAACTTTCAATTAGGGACTTAGGGGGCAAAATATGTTGTGCATCTGTATGCACCATGCAAAAAACGACGTCGTTTTATTAAAAACGCGCGTCTCCCCTTAAAAAAAAAAATCATGTTCGATTCCCAGCAATAACATATGAATTAAAATTCCAGAACCGATGAACTATAACTCCATAATCGATGAACTATAATTCCAGAATCTAATCTATGAACTAAAATCCCAAAATCTATGAACTAAAATTTCAAAATCGATGAACTACAATTCCAGAATCGATGAACTATAATTCCATAATCGATGAACTATAATTCCAGAATCTAATCTATGAACTAAAAATTCTAGAATGAATGAACTAAAATTCCAGAATCTATGAACTAAAATTTCAAATTCGATGAACTACAATTCCAGATTCGATGAACTATAATTCCAGAATCAATGAACTAAAATTTCATTATCTATGAACTAAAATTCCAGAATGAATGAACAACATAATGCTGTTGCTGGGAATCGAACCTGATTTTTTTTTTTTTAAGGGGAGACGCGCGTTTTTAATAAAACGACGTCGTTTTTGAATCCATATGCACCATGCATGGTGCATACGGATGCACAACATAACTACTCGACTTAGGGCTTATCATTTAAACAAATTAATTTTGGTTAATCATTAACCAAATTAATTTAGTCAATACGGTTAATAATTTTAAATTCTTTTGAAAAAATCAGTTATCAGTTAATTCAGTTTAAAAAATTAGAATTAGTCAAATTGACAATGAATAAAAACATTATAGCCATGTTTGGTAAAACACTTAACATTATAACTATGTTTGGAAGAATTTTAACTTATTTGACTACTATTAATTGTTCGACTTGGTTAAAAAATCAATATAATTATTTGATTAATTAGTTTTTTTGTAACTTCAAAATGTTAAAATAAAAAAAAAATGCTCAAAGTAACTTTTTCAATTAACTTTTTTAAAAAATAAATTATTCCAAACAGTTATCAGCTAACAGTTAATTTACTAAACACATTTCTACAATCAACTAATGTTATCAATTAGTTATACCATCAAATTAAAATTGTGTGCAGTCAAATTCTGTTGAAGGTTCGATGGTAAATACACGTCAAAAACCATGCAATAAGGCATGCGAGTGATGTAATTATTATCCATGTTGATGCAGCTGTTTTTTCAGATAAAGAGGAAGGATTTGTGTCCGCGGTGGTGCATGATGGTAGTGGAAATTTTATAGCGGCTAAAAACGGTGCTGTTAGGTGTTTGCATGATTCAATACACGCTGAGCCTATGCTATCAAAGATGCTCTCTCTGGGACTAAAGATTGTGGTTGGCAGAAATTGGTTCTTTTTTCAGACTGTCAGTTAGTTTGCACGATGTTGGAGAATTTTTTCTCGAATTATTCTTATGTTGGTTGTGTTCTTTGTGATTGTCTGGTTCTTAAACGACATTTTGTGGAGGTGTCGTTTCGTTTTATTTCTCGATCAGCGTATTGGCTCACGCTTTGACTAGAGCTACAACGCCTCAGTCTGGTCCTCGTTCTTTGGTTTTTTTCTATTCCTACCTGTATTGAACATTTGATTATTCGCAATTAATATATTCGCTTCTTTTGGCCCTAAAAAAAATTAATTAATTAACTCAATCAGCTAAGAGCTAACAACTTACAACCATTTACTGAACATGGCCTATATATTATTGCGAAAGTGAAAGTAGAGTTTATGAATAAGTTGTATATTTTATGGTTTTCAAAAACAAAAATTCTATATTTTATATTAGAAAAAATAATACACATCCCTATAAATACATGTTATAATACTTCTAAGGAAACAAGTTTCCATATGATTATCTATCAAAAATCCTAAATCTCCCGGTTGCCTAATGTATAGATTCCATATTACTTGTACATTCCAATATTCCATAACAAACAAGCTTCGGATTGGACTCTCCTTTGAACTGATGCTTGGGTACAATCTTTGACTTATGAAAGTTCAAGTGATATAAATGAAAGTATTCCCACATAAGATGGTAAGATTTTTTAGTGGGAATCTAACAAATTTGTTCAAATACATATTTATCTTTTTCGATATAAGTTAAAAATCTATAATCAATATAATAAATTTGTTTCTTCCACCAAATTGTTTATCAAAGAAATGTACATCCGGGTACGTCGTAGTTAATATTCTTGTTGCATATTATAAGTTTTTTGACATATGATTTATTAATTTACAAGTGATTTATTAAACTCTCAGTTATTCGTTTTTAAATTTGTTAATGTTTGTATATAGTAATGAAATATTATAGATTTAAATAATGTTAGAAATGAGAATAATTCATGTTTTGCATTGATTAGTGGCTCGAAGTGAATGAGAGGTTATGAGTTTGATCTTTATTCTTAGTGTGTTTCAGTAGGTTGAGAATGTAGTTATAAACAGGTGCTTACATTGTAACAGAGTAAAAAAAATAGTAAAGAAAAGAAAAGAAAAAGAAGAAACAAGAATAGCAACAACAGAGAGTGTGTAATAAAAAAAGACCTCCTATGAAAATGGAAAATATAGTTTACTCCAATGTTTTTGGCAGAGATGAGGGGAGGGGCACTTGATAATAGCGTCCGGTTAGGCATTTTTCACTGTATTTTTAAAGCATTAGCACCTTACTGTAGCAGACATTTTATGGTAAGTGGTAAGCGCTGAAAAGTTGGGCTCCCAGAAACAAAACGTGATCGAGTTTCTGGATTTTTTTAATTAGCTTTCGAAGAATCTGATCTTCCCAATCTCTTGTGGAAAACTCTCTCCTGCACAAAAAGTCTGGTGCAGGGAGAGAACCCAATCGGACGGACGGACGGTTGTCGCCGCCGGCCGCCGGCGTCATCAATTGATTCCCCAAACTTACACTCTGATTTTGCTTTAGGTTAGCTTACTTTCATACTTTTTCAGCTCAACTTTACTTTAGTTTATTGTGTTTTTTACGGAAGAAGTTTTTTTTTTTTTTTCGAGGATTAGAAAAATATTTCTGCTCTGAATTAATCATAGATATGTTATTTATTTAATTATTGTATATGTGTGCGTGTTTAACTGTTTATGTATGTTTATGATGCTGCTTTTATGTTATCTGAATGAGGATCAAAAGGAGCTGCTTAAATTTATGATCTTGTTGTTTATATCATTCTGTTTGTACGAGGTTAGCCTTGACAAGTGTATTCCTTAATCCTTATTCCAGACACTCTGGTGTTTAACTGTCTGTGTATACATTTTTTGCTATCAGGTGTGAAGATTTTGCACTACCATTGACAAGTGTTTGAGCAAGAGTTACTTGTGCTGTGTGTGTTGAAGTTTTAGCCGAAGTTCTTATTGGAGCATTGAAAAAATGTCTAGTGAAGAGATTAAGAAAGTTTCTCGTCAAGATATTCAATTGGTGAGGTTTCGGTTATAGCTATGGCAACATGTATTTGCTTTCTTTTTTGATTAGAAAATTAAATTTTGTGGAGAAAATGAAAACTAGTGATTGGAAAGCCTGGGTTGTGTGAAGGTATAATAGTATTCTTGTCCAGGGAGCGGCTGCACTTCATTTTCTGTAGTTACTCTTAAGAATGACATATTAATAACGATGGCGCCATTTACATCTATTGGTTTCAGGTGCAAAATCTTATAGAAAGATGTTTACAACTTTACATGACCCAGAAAGAAGTTGTGCGTACCCTCTTAGATCAAGCCAAGATTGAGCCTGGCTTTACTGAACTTGGTAAAATGTCTTACTCCTCGCCAATTGGGGCCTTCTATGCTGAAACTAATAAATCTGTTGCACGTTGATGTTGATGTGTGTGTGTTTCCTTAATTTGTTTTGTTGGGTAGAAATATGGCATCTAGATTGTTATCTCTCGCTCTCTATTTGAGCATATAAAAAATTGTTTCGTTAGCCACTTTGAACCTTTCCCTAAAAATCTTTTAATTTCCCCAGTGTGGCAAAAGCTTGAAGAAGAAAATCAGGAATTCTTCAGAGCATATCATTTGAGGTTGATAGTGAAGGACCAAATACAGAGATTCAACAAGTTACTTGAGAGGCATGTTGAGCTAATTCGTCAGATTTGTCCAACTGGAGTGAGTTCCATTACCTTGCATAATGGATCAGAGATGCGGCCATGTAAGAAGCTTCTTTCTGAATTTGATGTGTCATAGTTAGGGATATCAATCCGTCCAGCCATGGCTGTTTCGGGTCAACCTTGTTGAGTTGCTTATCGAGCTGAACTTTTATCGGTTTAAAATTTTTTTGGCTCTAACCCTAAATTGCCAGGTCGTCGGGCTTATTAGGTAGACTCAACTAAAATTTTTGACATTTTAAAATTAGTATTCTAAATTTTCAATTTTAGTAAACTAAACGCATTTTATTTTATACTAATAAATATGACCATATACATCATTTAATCAATCCAAACCTCCATTACCAAATTTCAACTAAAAATAATTAATATATTTATACTTATAATAATATAATAATAATAATAATAATAATAATAATAATAATAATAGTTTTTTTAGTTTTTCATTACTTATTTTAATAAAAAAAAAATTATTTTGTTATAAATTTATTAATTTTATTTAAATTGAATTAAAAAAAAAAAAAAAAAAAAAAAAAAAAAACTAAAGATGCCCTTACATACTAACTACCTTGTATATTTTGTTCCACATCTCTTGTGAAACAAAGAGTAGCATTAAGCGGGCTTGGGCTATCACCCGGGCCATCGAGTTTATTAGTTTCGGGCTAATTGGGCCACAACTTTTTGGCCTTAACCTTTTCTCGGTCTTATTGGATCAGCATCAACCCATTGGTTTCAGACTAAGATTGACATCCCTATGTCTAGTGCATTGACATGGTCTTCTACTATTCTACTCCTCCCCCCCCCCCCCCCCCCCCCCCCCATCTCTATTTTTTTTTTGTTCAGTTTACATTTTATCTTCTGTTCGCCTAACAAATGATCTGATGGAATTTTGAAAATATATTTATAGTCTTTTTTTCTGCACAAATTATTTTGTGATAATTGAAGTTCAAATAGTACTGTGTTTGGGGCTCTCCATCTAAATAATTCATAAAGTTATTGTGCTATTATAGTTTTATCAAAGAGTATAAGGATGTGACTGCTGTGAATATCCTTAAGGCATCTTAGCCGTCTATATGATAGAGTGACTATTTCATAAATAGATCATAGCGTTGATTTTGTTTTCAATGTTTAATAATACTGGTGCATCCTGAACTGTATTTGCATAATTGTGAAGTGGTGTGCATTCCTTCTCTATCGTTCCATCCCATGACAATGATAATTTGAAAGAGTTCTAACTGGTATTATATATTGGCAGTGCACGAGAATTCAACATGCACAACAACTGAAAATACTGGATCCATTGTGAAGACCGAGAACATGCACCAGAATATGAATACCAGTTTGCCTAATGTGTATGGCAACGGTGCTTCCACACTACAGCAATGCATGCCAAACGCTGTTGATATGTCTGCTCATTCAAGAAGTATTAGTGTATCGCAAAACATGCCATTGGCTCAGACCTCAAGTATGGAAATGCTACAAGGACTGAATGGTGGGGGCATGATTAAGTCGGAAGCTGATTATGTTGGCAATTCTCATTTCATGTTTGGTAGCAGCAATAATGTCCTTGAAGCTCGTTCTGTAATTGCGGATCCATCTATTTCATCCTTCAGTAGTATTGAATCCAATCCCCCACTTCAGAGTGAAACTATCTTGGATGCTGATGCATCATCGTTTGGATTCTTGGGGCAGATACCTCGAAACTTTAGCTTGTCTGATTTGACAGCTGACTTTGGTAACAGTACAGGTACGAATCTCTCTCTCTCTTTCACTCACATACTTGCATATACATACATACACACAAGCATGACCCAACATTTTGTCATGCCTCCACTCTTTTCCTTTGTTTTCCCAAAAAACAAAGAGGAACTTGGTAACCCCAGCTAATTTGGTCAGACTGTTGATTTGGTAACCACAAGGTTACAAGTTTGACTCCCAATAAGAGCAGCCTATTGGCTTTTTTGGTTTGAGCCAGTCTGCTATAGGCAACCTAGGCTGGTTTACGTCCTTGTGGTCTGTTGTTGGCTAGGGTCAGGAGGCGGGTTTACCTAGTGCACACCCTCGGGTAGTGGCTATGGGTTTCCCTAGTCACTCGAAAACAATGAGGAATTCCCTGTTCAGCAGTGTGGAGGCATTATATTGATAATTTTGCCGTACCCAACAGCAAATTCTTATCTTGAAATTTTATACTTTCTAGATATTTTAGAAAGCTATTCAAAATCACCCTTCCTAGCAACAGATGCAGATTACTTCCTGGATCCTCACAGCAGGGGAGAACACCAAGGTTAGTTCAATGGCAAGTGATTTCGGTTTTCATAACGGTAGAAGAGTTGACATTTGTGCCTAACATCTTAACAGATATTAAGAGTTTGGAAACCATATCAGAAGGTTTGAGTTATGAAGACTTTGGCAGTGATTAAATGAATTATTGCAATGGTACGTATTCTCTTGCCTATTTGATGTTATGAGATTCAAGTAAATGTTCCAATCATGGTTTTTACACACTATATTCATTGTTCAGCTTCGCCTTACTACTATATCTGTGTTCATATTGTATTTAATTTGATTTTTCACCTGACATTTGTTTCCAATGTTTCAGGTTGATCCTTTAAGTAATGGGTTTTGTAAATATGGACTTTTGAAGGCATTGGTGTTTTATTGGTCTGAGGAAGATGTAAGCAATGTTTTCGTAGTGATAACAGGGTGTTTGTATGTTAGATTGTTAGACGAGGAAATCAGAAATATGCTCATTTGTTTCATATGCAAAAATGAGTTTGCTTTTGGCTTTTAAACCAGTATATGTAACCTAATTGGGTCCATCTTATAGCTAATTGTACCAGATAGGTATTATAGAATAGGAAAATACATTGGGATCGTAGTGATGCTTTGTGGCTCTAAATTTCTGATGGGATCATACATTGATCAAGCTGTGCATAAGAATTGATGATTGTATAAAATCTTTTGCTTCCTCATAAACCCAGTCACATAGTTGTTTAAGAAATAGGTTTCAGTGTCTACACGAACAGCTCAGTTGATTTTTGGGTAATAGATTTTGGATAAACAAACTACGCCGTGTAAGAATCAACCTCTTTCAGTAATAACATAGACACAAAAATAAATGGAAGTTTTAGAGACAAGCAATCCTCCCTAGGTTGGTACAAGAAAATGTTTCAACTGGACCAAGACAACCTTGTACCTGTATCTCCACATCATCCATTTAGAAGGGGACAATCGATAATACGAACCTTGGCATTACTGCTGCTGCGTATCTGTTCTGGTAGATATGACAGTTCTGGGCAATCCTCTATATACAACCTCTGCAGCAAGGTGCAATTTTGCAGCCAATCCGGCAATGCAGTCAATTCGGGACAACCTGCGACTCTCAGGTACTTGAGCTTCATTGCATCTATGTCTTTAAGTCCAGCCGGCAGTGACACCAGTTTAGGTAGTCCCATTAGAAGCAGTGACTGTAGGCTTTCAAGCCCTTCCATCCCCTCCCCCACTGACAAATCCAGTTCTTCGCAGTTCCAAATCCACAGCTTCTCTAGTTTAGCCAGATGCCTGATACCGGCTGGAAGACAAGTCAGTGACGAGCATTCATAGATTCGCAAGACTCTGAGTTTCTTCATGTGCTGCCATATTTCTGCTGGGAATTTCCTGCAAGAGCATTTGTAAAGCAGCAGGAACTGCAGAAAACCAAGGGAAACGCTGCTGCGTTTCTGCAGAGATACCTCTTGGGAAGTTAAGTACAGAGTTTTCAAGCTCATCAGTTGTTGCCCGAAGTTCCTAGGAAGCTCTTTAAGTTGCTCACAGTTTATGAGGTTCAGCGTCTGCAAATTCACTAGCTTGCTTATACACTCGGGAAGAGACTTGATGTTGCAGTTGTTGCTAAGGTTAAGATACCTCAACTGTTTCAAGAAGCCTATCGAGCTTGGCAATTCCTTGAGCTCAAGGTTTTGCAGCATTAGGACACGCAAACGCCTGAAGTTCAACAAGGTCTTCTTGACAAAGGTCTTGCTGACAGTCCCAACTCGAAATGAGTAAGCAAAATACCTCAGGTTCTTCAGATTAAGCAAGGGTTGGGGAAATTCTTCTCGAGATAGATTGTCTGCATGGAAAACGAGGTGGTGTACACTTTCGGGAATCTCTGGATCACCAGACTTCACGTTTAAGCATTCTGCACCAGCCACTGACTGTGCAAGATCATGTACAAGATTATGGATTTTACAAGCCAAAATTTCTCCATCGAAAGCTTCTACTACATCTTGAAAGCAGAATCTCGAGAGTAACTCGTTGAAGTACTGATTACCAAGATTTTCCAGCTCCTGGTCCCCGTCTGGTGACTGTATAAATCCCTGCGCAACCCAGAGGTTGATGAAAACTTCCCTGGGAATTTCTTCGCCTTTTGGGAACATACAGCAATACGCAAAGCACTGCCTTAAATGGTATGGCATCTGATCATAACTTAACTTCAGTATCGGTAAAATGTCAGTTTCTTTCTGTTCAATTTTCCATATCTCGTTCTCCCTGATATGGAGCCACTCTTGTTCATCTGTCTTACAATACAACATACTCCCCAAGGTCTTCACAGCTAAAGGAACCCCCCCACATTTCTGGACAATTTCTTTCCCGATTTCTACCAAGTTACGAGGCCTATATTCCTGCTCTCTAAATGCACACTTCAAGAATAAATCGAAGCAATCATGATCAGAAAGACCACTCAAATTGTATGCAGTGGTTGTGCCAGTTATTGTGGCTACCTTTATGCTTCGGGTAGTAACAATCACTCTACTTCCATCACAGCCGCTCATCAATAACTCCCTTAAATTCTTCCATTTGTGCTGATCTTCATTCCACACATCATCAAGAACAAGTAAATACCTTCCAGAGCACAAAACGCCATTTAAGTGCTCCTGCAATTGGTCCATATCTAAGTGCCCAAAACTCTTTCCGGTTGCTGACCTTAGAATCTTCTCAATCACCTTGCTGAGACTAAAATCCTCAGAAACACTAACCCACAACCTTGTATCGAAATTCTGAACTACTCGATCATCGTTGTACACCAATTTAACCAGTGTGGTTTTACCAAGACCTCCAAGTCCAACAATGGGAAGAAATGAAACACTTTCTGTGTCTTCTTCATCACAAGACTTCATAAGCATTCCCACAATGGATTCCTTATCACTGTCTCTACCGATTATGTCAGAGGGCCTCACAAAAGAGTGAGTTTGTTCTCTCAACTTTCCATTCTCAACCGGGTTAACATAATAGTTTTCCTTGAAGTGAAAGTTTCTCCTATCCTCAGCAATCTGATTTAACCTCCCTCTAATCTCTCTAATCTTATGGGTAATCTTGAATCGATATATAAGTCCATCTGGGCGTGTAAACAATTTGCGTACCTTTGTGAGGATACCGCTGCAAGAACGCAACTTTCGCAGTAAACTCAGTGTCCCAAAGTCGTCTAACAAGTCATCAGCATCATAAACAACATCTCTGAGCTTTTGTAGCCAATCTTTCACCTCATGATTCTTTGCCTGCTGTTCATCAGCATCGCGCAGCACAGCTTTAATGGTGGATAAAGTGTTCTGCAGTTTCTTCAGCTCTGGCTTTAAGTTCCAGGCTGAACTGATCTCATCTGCACCAAATGGGTCACAATTTCAGTAGCTTTTATATATCCAAACAAAAGCAAATTAAATACTGATGATGGAAACTAAGAAAGTAGATAGATTTGGCAACGAAAATGAATATGGGTCCGTCCAGCTTCACCTTGAGCAAGAGAAACGATCTTTGATAAGACGTTTTCAGTGATGTCGGCCAAGAATGTTTCCGCCATTGATGCTCTCGGCGATTGCTAAGAAATCATGATCCAGCTGGGGATTGGGGACTGCAGACTAGTCTGCAAGTAAGACTGTAATTGCTGACAAGAATGTTGAGACACAGAGAAAAGTCAAGCTTTAAAACGCACAATGTGCTTCCAAGAAACATCATTGTTACTGTCGTTTCAACCAAAATTTTTTCACTAAAAGCATTGTCTTTTCTATGTTAATTTGTTACGACATACCCCAATGTTTCTCTCCTCTTTGATTCACAGAATGTTAAATTATCTAAAGAAATATTAAGTTACTGAAGAAATCAAACACTAAAAATAATTTTATGACATTCAGTTAAATACTAAAAAAAATTATTTTTTTTAAAAAAAATAAATTAATTTTAAAAAGGTTATTTTCTAAATTTTCAATCGGACTCTTAAATCCAATCATGAGTATATTTACTCAAGAATGAAAATGAAAAACAAGAAATGAGAAATGACAATTTTGAATATATATATATATATATATATATATATATATATGAATGAATATTAATTATCTATAATTAAAAAAATACACTAATAAATTCAAATAATTAAAATACAATGTCTAAGTTGTGAAGAAGTACTACAAATTGTCTACAATATTGTCCACAATAACATTGAAAAATGTTGAATCTAAAATTAGCATCTACACTTTTTACCTACTTAAATTTAGAATAATTGAAAATTTTAATCATAAAATTTCACATAGTTTTAAAAGAAAAATATTAGTTAGTCATACTTTTATCGCTCTCAAACTAACTAATGTGATAAAATTAAGGGGTATCAGTATGATGTTCCATTTCAAAATCAGTTTTTGCCACTTTCATTGGAGCTATCAAAAATCTTCCAATTTTAGTAAATTTCGGAGAAAATTGGCATTTGGTCAACGGCAGACGTCTGAGCTCTGCCGTCTCCTTCTACTCGCGTCGTCTGTTAGTGTTAGGTATGTGTATACACTATACCTTTGCCCCCTTCGTCTACGTTTATCATCTGTTTGATAAAATTCCCCTCCAGTTTCAGGGCCACTTTCGCCTCTGTTTGAGAATTACCCCACTGGTTTAAGCCGTCCGTGTCCATACATCCATTGGCGATGGCGAATGCTCTTCCCATTCCCACCGATACCTACAAGTTAGGCTTCATCGGAGCAGGCAAGTTGGCTGAGAGCATTGCGAGAGGCGCTGTCAAGTCGGGCTTATTGCCGCCTTCTCGTATTCGAACTGCCCACACCGGCCCCGCTCGCCGCACTGCCTTCGAGTCATTTGGTGCCACTGTGTACGACCATAACAAGCAGGTACCATTTCTTTCTTCTCATTTTGCTCTTTTTTTCCCCTCTCAGAATACTATTTCTTGATTCTCCTCTCTTGATAAAGTTACAATCTTTAGGCTACTTCTTTGCTCCTCCCCGTTTGAGATGTTTTGGTTGCTTTAATGGGCTCATATTATTTGTGTTTCTAATGAAGAACTACTAGGGTAGGTGATGACAGTATTGCGGTTTTGCTTCTCACCTCCAATTAAAAATGAAACTAATTTATAGCTCCATTCCCATTGATGCTGCATGTGCATTTCCTATGGAGAACAGGTTGTTGAAGATAGTGATGTGATCATATTCTCTGTGAAGCCTCAAATAGGTACACCCAGCATTCTTGGTGTTTCCTTTATCCTTTGTTATATCTCAATACAGTGATACTAATTTATTGTCAGTAACAAAGAAACTGCTATTAGCAAATGATGTTGTGTAGTGCCACTATTGCTTGCCCGGTTACACCATAAATAGATCCAACCTCCTGAAACCACCCTTCTTACTAACAGATGGGTTTGTGCTGAATTATATACTAGTAAAATAATTAAAATGAATGTTATAAGTTTAAGGACAAAAATAAAAAAAACATTCGAAGAAGTATTGGTTACTACCACCTGCCATATGCACACAAGAATATATATTTGATCATGTAGCACTTCTTTTGCTTTTGATGATACAGGAAAGGCTAAATATTTCCATGTTTTCCTCTCTTGGAAGAGGGAGATGGCAATGTACTGTCATATTTGGCATTCCTTCATTCCCTAGTTCCATTTAATGTTACAAAAAGAAGTTATTTAATAATC